ATCTAGGCTCTATACGTGCGAAGGTTCTTCTTTTCCGCGTAGGACTCACAAATATGCTCATTTTTGTCGGCTTTTCAACAAATTAGAAACGCTCATTTTTTCGTATTTTCGGAAAAATAAAAACCTCGTCACGGAAAACCATCCTACCATTAGTTTGAACATAAACCAGCTATCAATAGAGCTGGCGAGTTTACCCAAATGTTCAAAGTGAAAAATAAAGAGTGCATGGCTCTCAAAGAGCTCATCACTGAATAGCACAGTGCTCTTTAGTGGGAAAATTTTTCAAGAATCCTCATACCATATATATGGAAGCGCCGTTAACAGCACAGGAATTTTCGGTCTCAGGTCTTCTGTCAATCATGAGGCTGGCAGTTTAGCGTTTTACAGTGCTGTCTGAGAGCTCTTACATACGCATACTAATACAGTATTTCTACTTCCTTCAAAAGGCTCAGCCCTCATACTAACTCATACTAAGCGAAGCGTATGTTTGTCCATCTACACTCTCACCCTTGGTTGATAGAACGCCACCGGGTTTCTCAAAGGCAGCGGTTACGATAAATTCAAGAAGGGTTTAGTGTGACGTGGTGGTGCTCAATGGTACCCAGCAGCGAAAAAAGCAGAAAAATCCGTCAAGAAAACGCAAAACGGGACCCCTTTTTTGGCCGTTGGTTTTCACTCATGAACAGGTAACAGCTCAGAAAGTGGACGTATGAACGAGTTCACCGCAACGCGTTTGATGGCACCATGCCAAAGTACGCTTTAATCGAGATGCTCCATTTGCGCCGCTGCTGGTCACGCAGCTCGTCCAAATCAACAAGTAAACTAGTGGGCGGATCGCTTTTGGGGGCGGAGTGCTTGCGAAGTCCTGCTCAGCAACCACAGCACCTTTCGCCGTGGAAGCGCCACACATCGCTTCCTTGGCAGCCAAGTAATTGCTCCGTGTGGCGCAGGTTCTCCCCCGATGCGAAAATTCCTTATCGTAATCGCTTCCTTTAAGTTGCCGAAAGAACCACAATTCGATTCAAAAACCAGTGATGGCTACTATCTACTCTTAGGTTCGTACGTGTAAAGGTAAGCTCAACCTCACCTTTGCGGCCAACTGTGGATGATTCCGTTGAATTGCCGTTGACGATAGCGAACGAGTCCGCAGGGCTTGAGCTCGCAGTGCTGCAAGTGCTCCCGGTGGAATTTGTCGCTAAAATATCACTTTTAGCTGACACATTTACAAAGACATCTATTACCTGGAGGCTGTTGGTTATGTT